TACATGGTTACATTACATACATTACACATTATTCAAATAATTTTATTTCCTTTAGTTCTGTAGCAAATAGTTTTTCTGTTCTCTCAAAAACATATTTAACACTTTTTGTACAAACAAATTTTATTTTGTACTCCAGCTGTTTCATAACAAATATCATTCTAACTATTTTTTCTTGTTAAACAAAAAGTGTCATTTTATAGTTTTAATGTAAACTATACTTACTTTTTGCTGGAAATTAATTACAAACTACATTAATTTTATAAATAATTTATTTATCTGAAATAAAAATTGGTTAAAAGATGTAATTAATAACAACTTACATGTATTTCAACCATTTTCTTACTCTGTATGAAAAAATGTTCACTTATTAAAAAATGGAAGGAGTATTATTTTGGGTGCCATAACAAAAGAAAAGAAACAGAATTGTTGATTACGGGACAATCAAAAGCCATTAAATAGCACTTTTTCACACAGAGTCTAATGGTAAATTGAAAGTCAGTGTGATCGAGTCCAATCGTTAGTTCATTTACACACTTACGTAGCTTTCTACACACACGCGTAGCTTTCTAATACAATCGAGATCCAATCGTTACATAAATATTAGATGAGACTCATATTTTATTACAATATTTTGGTGTATATCTATATATAATAGCAAACTGAAAGTGACATCAGCAATTTTTTATAGGAAAAAAAAATTCAATCTAATGGTCATAGTTAACTTGATTTTAAGATCTAATGGACCAAAAAAAACCTTTTCATATGATTGATGATGTCATCAAATATTTGACAACTATTCATTGAAAAGGCATATATTTCATTTTAATAGCGACAATCATATTTTTCATACATTTTCATAAGTTTAAATATTAATATTGACTTTTTAGAAGATAATATTTATATGTGTCGTGACCGAAGAGGTATGAACGTATCGTGATTCAAGAGGTACGAATGTGTCATGAACCAAGAGGTGCGATCGTGTCGTGAACCAAGAGGTACGAACATGTCGTGACCCAAGAGGTACGAATGTATCGTGACCCAAGAGGTACAAATGTGTCATGAACCAAGAGGTACGAACGTGTCGTGACCCAAGAGGTGCGATCGTATCGGAACCGAAATGGGGCGAACGTGGCAGGACCGAAAGGGTGCGAATGTATCGGGACCGAAAGAGTGCGAACGTGTCGGTACCGAAAGGGTGCGAACCGGTCGGGACCGAAAGGGTGCGAACGTGTCGGGACCGAAAGAGTGCGAACGTGTCGGGACCGAAAGGGTGCGAACGTATCGGGACCGAAAGGGTGCGAACGGTTTGGGACCAAAAGGGTGCGAACGATTCGGGACCGAAAAGGTGCGAACGGTTCGGGACCGAAATGGTGCGAACGGTTCGGGATCGAAAGGGTGCGAACGGTTCGGGACCGAAATGGTGCGAACGGTTCGGGATCGAAAGGGTGCGAACGGTTCGGCACCGAAAGGGTGCGAGCGGTTCAGGACCGAAAGGGTGCGAACGGTTCGGCACCGAAAGGGTGCGAACGGTTCGGCACCGAAAGGGTGCGAACGGTTCGGCACCGAAAGGGTGCGAACGGTTCGGCACCGAAAGGGTGCGAACGGTTCGGCACCGAAAGGGTGCGAACGGTTCGGCACCGAAAGGGTGCGAACGGTTCGGCACCGAAAGGGTGCGAGTGGTTCAGGATCGAAAAGGTGCGAACGGTTCGGCACCGAAAGGGTGCGAGTAGTTCAGGATCGAAAAGGTGTGAATGTAACGCCACCGAAAGGGTGCAAATGGAACGTCACCGAAAGGGTGCGAATGTAACATCACCAAAATGGTGAGAATGTAACGTCATCAAAAAGGTGGGAATATAACATCACCGAAAGGGTGCGAACATAATGTTACCAAAAGTGAACGAACATAATATCATTGATACTTATGGATGCAAGTCATTAGAGTTAAGGCCGAGCCATCATGAGTGGTAAACATATTGTTCATGGTCGGTTGCTATGGACTATGATCCATGATATGGATCGATGGCTCAAAAAGAAGTGTATATGAAACANTTAGAGTTAAGGCCGAGCCATCATGAGTGGTAAACATATTGTTCATGGTCGGTTGCTATGGACTATGATCCATGATATGGATCGATGGCTCAAAAAGAAGTGTATATGAAACAGCCTTAAAGTTTTATTGTACCTTGTAATAAGTATAAAAATATATACATTCATATGTATGGTAATGAAAGCACATAGACACTAATATGAATTTTTTAAAAAAAAAAAAAATGGAAATGCATGACTCCTGATGATAAATACTACACACCTATAGAAATTAATATACAATCCAAGGTGTATTGTGTTAAACAAATTATGGAACCACTTTATAAAGTTTGTATGTCAAATTTAAATGCAAACCATTTTTAAAATTAAATATAAAAATAATCAGAGAAGGTTAATTATTTATTTGTTTCCTTAAAAGACACTTTTAAGGGTATTTAACAAATCATAAAATATATTTTTCAAAAATACTCCACATTTCATTTTATTTTGCATTCGCAACCTTTCACATTAATTGAGATTTTTATTAAGATACACAACTTTTTATTTTATTTGGCATCACAATCTTTAGAATTAATTGAGATTTTTGTTAAGATACAGAGCCTTTCATTTTATTTATTAAGAAACACAACTTTTCATTTTATTTTTTTAAAGAGGCACAACTTTCCATTTTATTTTGCCTTTACAATA